CAGGCACCCAATGAACGTTCACCACGTGAGCACTGGGGAAGCCGAGGGGTAGTGGAAAATCTTGGGAAACAAATACCATGAGCAGCAGCTACTTACTGCCTCTTGTGTTTAAAGTGTCAGATGCTTTTACTTGGAATATCTCCTTTATCTTAATCAAATCATCAAAACTGCCATGAGAAGGCTCTATTAACATCCCCATGTTACAGATGAAGAAAATGAGGCACAGAAAGGCTGAAGGACTCACTCAGGATCAAATTAGCAAGGAGCAAAGCTGGGATCCAAGCCCAGGCAGGAGGATGGCTAACCATGGCTCTCCACTCAGGGCGCTGAGACAGGAGCCCTGGGAGCTAGGGGCTTTTCCCCCAGGGCCTCAAGTGGACTGTGTGACCTAAGGGCAGTGAACCGGCCTCTCGGAAGCTCAGTCTCCAACCATGTTACATGAAGAGACTGAACTAGGTCATCTTGGCTATGGCTTGCAGCTCCAGAATTCTTGAATTTGGAGGCTGCTCTTGGGCTGATGTTTGAGTGCCTCTCCCAGGAAACAATGATTCTGGACAGTGACGTTCCCACACCAGACCAACACCAGAAAGAAAAAACTATGTTCCAATCTATCTGACATGTTCAAATCTATCTACGTTTTGGATGCTACTAGCACATGCTGCTGTTTAAAAGCAAAGCAAAACAAAAATGGAACCAGTAAGTAGCCAAAGAGAAGTCTACCTGTGAGTTTCCAATCACTTAATAAGGTGAATCTTGGTTCCTAAACGCTGCTGCTTTAGCCAGGGTATCTCTGCTGCAGGGCTGTTCTTCTAACAGGCAAGGGGATAGTCACATTACAGAGGCTGAGCCAGATGGTGTCGGAGGGGTTCTGACCCTCTGCCTCTCCCCCATTACCACAATGGTCTCCACATCATCGGCCCACAATGTTTCCACCCCTGAGGCTCAGTGGACACTGACTCCTCTCTTGACCCCATGACAGAATTTTAGGGTTCAGAGGGATTTTTAGAAATCAATCAGGTCAATTCTTATGGCCAGCTTCCTTCCCAGAACAAGTTGTGATGGCTATCAGCCTGCTGTTATTCATTAAAACAAAACAAAAAACTAAAAACCCATTGAGTGTTTACTCTGTGCCAAGCCCAGTCTCTAAAAATAAAGGGTCTCCTGAGGGAGGTGCAGCACAGTAGGGGAGCCTGCAGAGCCCACTCCTTCGGAACTGGAGGCCCCGTTCCCCAAGGGCTGGTCCAATTCCTTCCAGAAGCTCCCGGCCCTGACTCAGCACAGCCCTCATTTGGCTTTTACCAACTTTCTATTTGGTGCTCCCTGTCCTTCCATGCCTTGCCCTCTTCCCATAAATGCAAAAATCTCACCCCAGCCTGGAATTCCAGGTCAGGCCCAGACCCTCAGTCACTGATGTGGCTTTTCCATTATTCCCAGCGGGCCGAGAAGATTGTGCTGACATTGACTTTTGGGTAGTTTATATCAGCGAAATAATTTTGGGGGGTTTTCTAAATATATAATCCAAACACTGACTATCGCCTTTATATCCCACAGTCTCCCTAGAGACCCTGGCATGCTTCCAAAGCATACATGGTAGCCCCTCTCAGGTCCCCTGGCCGCCCTTCCTATTACTCTAGTCTTCAGTTGAGCCAACTACTGGACACCCCAGGAGACAGGGTCAGGTAGGTGGTGCTGGTTGTTGCCCAAGTGCATATGAACACACTTCACGTTTAAAGGCAGAATAAATGCAGTGGCCACATTAGCAGACTGGGGTTTCCCATCCCATGCCTCTCCCTCCTGGGCTGAGAAACCACTCACTTCCTTCAGCTTCTCCTCTGTTGTGTCAAAATTGAGATTCTTAATAAACAGAGTACACCCTGGGAGGCTCTCCTCTTCTTCTTCCTCTTCCTCCTCTTCCTCTTCCATCTTTGCTGAAGAATTGTCTGCTTCTTCCTCTGTTGGATTCTTATCTTCTGGGGTTTCACCATTGGACACTAGAACCCCCAACAAAACAAAAACATCAAATCCATGAAATAATGTGTAGCCCACCACAGCCTCAGGGCCAAAGGCAAGGAGCCTACGAGGTAGAGGGGCTCTGCCTCTGTAGGCAGTGTCAGGAAGGGGCACTGTGATCCCCAACTTGTGCTGCGTTTCGGCAACTCCCGAGACAGAGACCAAGTCCTGCCCCCTGATTGTGTTGTAAAGAGAAATAGGGAACACAGCCCCTAAATGGGGCCTTAAACAGGACCAACTCGCACTCATTTAGACTTCAAAATAAATTACCATGTGAACTGTTTTGCTGAACCATGAGCCTAAGCAAAATGTTACGTTTCCTCAAAAAAAAAAAAAAAAAAAAAACCACAGTATTTAGTAAACATTCAAACTGAAATGCAACTTAAAACCGTTCAAAAATTACAGAATGGAGGCTAAACTTAGGAAGAGTCTAAATACCCCTTGAAACTAAAGAATGTTACATGCAATCGAAATCCCCTCATGTGTATTACTTCAGGATGCAGATACACTAAAGGTGTGGTTTTGTCTAAACATATTAAATGCAGAGTTATCCATCACAGGGAAAAACTGAAAATACTCTGTGTTCACAAACAAGGGACCAGGTAAGGTAGAGAACCACCAAAGGCTGGAATAATATGTAGTCATGAAAAATGATGTTTCTGAAGAACGTTGAATGACATACAACAAAGCTCATCATATAAAAATTAGAGAAAAATTAAGATATTAAAAATAAGCATATACTGTAATTTTAGAGAATGTTTAATGTAATTCAAATCACGATCTAAGCTAGGTGTGGTGGCTCACGCCTGTAATCCAGCACTTTGGGAGGCTGAGGTGGGTGGATTACTTGAGATCAGAAGTTCAAGGCTAGCCTGGCCAATATGGTGAAACCCTGTCACTACTAAAAATATAAAAATTAGCCAGGCATGGCGGTGGGCACCTATAATCCCAGTTACTTGGGAGGCTGAGGCACGAGGATTACTTGAACCTGGGAGGCAGAGGTTACAGTGAACTGAGATCATGCCACTGCACTCCAGCCTGGGTGACAGAGCAACACTCCATCTCAAATCAAACAACAACAACAAAAGACTTGTATAGTATTTGTGAGAAAACATACATGTATGGACACATACCCACCCACACACCCCCACACGAAGGAGATGCATAAAGTGCTCCTGGTTTATTTCTGGAGAATGGCATTAGGGATGGTTGTCATTTCAACCTGTCACTGCTAGCACTTGGTACTGCTCCTACTCTGAAGTAACAGCATTTTAGGGAGAGGGAAGAGCAAATGTGATGTGAAGTTGTGAGTTAGCAAGGGGTGTGTGTGTGTGTGTGTGTGTGTGTGTGCGTGTGCGTGCGTGCACGTGCGTGTGTGTGGCTGCAGCTCAGGGAGCTGGAAGCAGGGAGACTAGACCTGCTAGCCTGCAGTGGCACTAAGCATGTGGATTTCATTCTCAGCTGATGGAAGCCTCAGGAAGTCGGAATAGGGCAGTGTCATGATTTTTTGCGAAGTCCTAGGAAGAAATATGTTCCATTTGTTTCAAGCTCCCCAATTTCCCCAAGTTACATGATCAGGATCTGGAGACAAATTCCTCCTCCAAAGACAAAGCTTCTTCTGAAGCTATTCTCACATCCTCCAGGAAGTCAAACTGCCTTAGCAATTCTTCAAAGAAGTTCTCAGGCTGTGCCTTCACACCCCTCACCTTCAATGTTTCCAAGCAGATGACCAGTGACTTCCTTGGAGATTTAAACCCTGCACCCCAGCCTGGCTGAAGCACCTGGAGGTCCCATGGGCGGGCAGGCTGGAACTGATGGAGACAGCCCATTTCTACTCACACCTTCACTTGGATAGTTCAAACTTCTGCATGGTGTAAGGGGGCTTCTTGGGGTTCAGCTCCATCCCACATACTCTTACCACCAAGCACTAAAGATGCCTCTGTCTGTCCTGCCCTTCCTGAAGCTTTCAAGTCTTAATTAAGCTTCAACCACTCATAAAACAACTCTCTCAGGCCCTTACAGAAACAGCTACCATGATAATGCTGTCTCTTTAACATCAGTTGAACCTGCTGCCCTTGTCCCTAGAGTAAGCCCAGAACCAAGACTCAGGCCCCAGGACAAAAAGAAGTCTACACAAAGCCTCCTCCCCCAATCAAGAAACGAACACAGCCCAGCAAGAGAGACTCCATGGCGCGGCCCTTTGTACTCAAAACCCAACTTTCAAACAAAGCTGGAGGAAAAAGTATCACTAATGATGAGAACGAAAGCTATGCAAAGCAGCCAAGACTTCAGGTCTGGACCAGAACGTCCATGGAGATGCAAACCACAAGCATCAGCAGGGAGTAGTATCCCACCCTGCTGGCCCTCCCTGGCATTTGACATCTTGGAGAACAAAGGAGGAAGGAAAGAGCACCGATGAGATCCCCTACCAAACGACAGGCACGTGGCTGGATGCCCTAAGTCCAGTCTCACTCATGACCACGGCAGCCACATCACAGAAAACGGGGGGCCCAAGGAGAGTTCTGGGGCCTGCCACATCTGAACCTGAAATCTCAGGGACCTTCAGGTTGGTGAGACAGGTTCATGGAAGACTAGGAAAAAAAATTATAGAGAAAAGCGCAGTGGGGATGATGGTGACCATGAGGGCTCATGGCCACTTTAAAGGAGCAGCCCCTTCTTGCCATTGGCCAATTGACAGGTATGTCAACCTAGCAAGGCCAGAGTCCAGATCTATTGAGACAAGCAGGAAATCCAGCTTTACAGAGGAAATCCCATGGTTTTTAAATCTTGGCAACTTAATGGCAAGTGGCTTTTGAATAGGCAGTAGTCAGCAAGTACACGGGCCCATCGAAGCCTCGGTGCTCTGCTCCATGCATCCATTCTGCCCCAGACCGCCAGCAAAGATGCCCTTCCCTCTTTCTCCCCCAAGGCCCCAGAACCTAACCAGTGCCCAGCATGGTATTCCAGGAGTTCCAAGTCTCACAAGGGTAACAAGCCGGGGAGCCCAGTAGCCCTCAGCGTGGCTGGAGTTGACTCTACCCTGGTCCGTAAGCGGTGGCTGGTGTGCTGCAAAGGGCATCTTTAAATGCCCAGGCACCTGCCGAGGGAGGTGTGATGTTTGGGTTTAGTAACAGAGCTGAGAACAGGTCCCTTCCCTGGCAGGTCAGCTGCCCTTAGCCCCAGTCCAGGAAGAACAAGAGGGAACTCTGAGGATGGTGAAGACCTATTGTTTGGGTGTGCAATTGGCCTAGCAGGGGGCTCACCTGGCATCTCCAACCTCCCATAAGTCAGCCAGCACATCTTAACCCTCCACATTGGGAGGAGCATCCAGCTTGAAATGAAAGACGTGTTCAAAGGGGTCTGCCTTTCATCCAATAGCATAGGCTCTGGCTGACGCCAGAGATGTCCATTCTTTCCCCGAACCTTGCGTTCATAGCAAGAACCGCCCTCCACCTGAAACTTCACCCTGGATCCTAGAAGAACTAACAATTCAAGAGCATCACAGTCTTAGAAATCTGCTGGAAAAGGAAGCCTGGAAAAGACGAGGAAGGGAGGCCCAGTCCCAGCCCTGCTGTACCCTACCTGCGCGGCCATGGCGAGTGACCTTACCGCTGTCTTGGCACCCTTACCTATAAAACAAAGCTTACTAAAACCACCTCTCCCCAATACCAAAAATACACACCCACAAAAACCCCAGAGTCATACTCATTTGTAGGAAAATTGGTAAACAGAACAGTGACTAAACTCGACTACCTATTTTTAAAAATATGATAATGTAATACTTATGAACAAGAAAGAATGCAAAATCCACATTTAACGTTATTTAAATAAATGAATTTCAAATTAATGTGAGAATATTGTATAAGATGTATTGTATAGGTAGTTTCAAAACCCAGTGAAGCGCAGGTGTATACAGACTGCTGGCAAAGATAATGACCCTTCCTCCTCTCTCTTCGAAAGCCCTGGAGCCCAGCCAGTGCCCAGCGTGGCATTCCAGGAGTCCCAAGTCTTACAAGGGTAACAACCTGGAGCGCCCAGCAGCCCTCAGTATGGCCTCCCTGGGCCACGGGCGATGACTGGTGTGCTTTACTGGGGAAGAGCTGTTGCCTTTGCCAGCAGTCCGCATACAACACCCGTGTTTTGCTGGGCTGTTTGGAAACACAAGTGTCCACTACTTCCTCCATCTGCCAGGCCATGGCTCCATCACCTCTCACCTCACCTGGACAACTGAATAGCCTCCTTGCTGCTGTGCCCTTTGCCCCTGTCCCTGGCTCACCACCTTCCCTGACCTTATCCCTGGCCCTTTTCCCTTCTCTCTTGTCACCTCCATTCCAAACGCACTGGCCTCTTTTCTGGTGGCCGACCCTGCCAAGTCCCTCCCTACCACAGGGCCTTTGCACCTGCCGGCCTCTGCCCATCCTGCTGGTCTGTTGCTTTCCCAGGCCTGGCTTCCTCTCCCTGGCCTCCCCGCAGGGAGGTCGTCCTGTCCCCTCTAGTTCAAGCAGGCTCCAGCCGGGGCCCAGCCACTCGATGTTCCGTTCTCCTGCTTTCCTCTTTCCAGAGCCCTTTCCTGTTCTGGTATCACCATACTGAGCAGTTTGCCCCTCTATCTGTGTTCCCCAGCTCCACAGGGAGCTCGGGGACAGGGCTCAGACTGAAACACAGCGATCATGAGATAGGAGTGGTGGGGTCTTAGGTAAGAACACAGGCCTCGGAGTTGAAGGCTTCGGGTCATATTTCGGCTCTCTCCACACGTGTGACCTTGTGTAAGGCAAGCAAGCAAACTCTCTGTGCTTCCTTCTTTCCATCTAAAAAGGAGCTGGCTATCGTGCTGCCGACTTGCAGGCCGATGACAAGAAAGAATGCAGAGCAGCCTGTGAGACCTGAGCCTGGACTTGCAGTGAGCGCTGGGAAGTCAGTTTCCTTCTTCTTAACATCACCCCTGCGACCCACACTGCCCAGCAGGCCTTGATGAGAGAGAAATCCAGGGGACAATGGTGGAGAGATGAGACAGCCCAGCGCAGGGAGCCCCCAGCCCGACTTCCCCTTCTCCCTGCAGGGTGAGCTGCTGGCTGCAGGCTCCCAGGAAGGCCAGCCAGCGCCAGGCCTCCGAGTCCACAGCCTGGCGCCCCTGCCAGCCAGCTTCTGCTCCCCGAGTCATGAGGCCAGGCTGTGTCCAGAGAGGCGTGGAGACTCCAGGAGCCAAGACCATGAAGCCAAAGGTCATTTTCAAAAGCACTTCTGCTGCTGGCCCCAAGTGGGGAGACAAAAGAAAGACGGGAAAGAAAGAAATAAGGCGTGAAACTCCAACAGATGTCTGCCAACAAAATCACCAGGAACAGAAAAAGAGGGAAGAAGTGAGAAAGGAATCAGGGCTGGGCCCGGGGGTGGAGGAGTCAGGGGGAAGGATCTGAAAGCAAGGTGGGCTGGAGGGGGCTGGGAGAGGCAGGGGGAAATGTGCTTCCATCTGTAGTTAGCACAATCAAATCCAGTCACGCATCGCCACATGGGGCTTTATTATAATCAGGCCGCAGAATTTACTGCGGCCTCCTCCCCTTTCCCGGCTCTCGGCGCTGGAGCTGACAGCAAAGACTGTTATCAGTTGCAAGCAGCTTTTCAGGATCTCCCCCCACTCTGAACCCTTTATCTGGAGGTGAGGGTCTTGGTTGTGGGGAGATAAAACACGCTGTCCCCCTCCCTTGAGACTGGTACAGAGAACAGCAGTGCTTTACAGAAAGGAAAGGGGTAAAATTAAAAAAAGAAAAGCTACGTCCACTCCCCTCCTGCTCTTCTTCCTTGGGAGCCTGAGAAAATCCAGGGCTTCGCGGGCTGGTTGAGCCCCCCGCCAGCCCTCGCTGTCCTCATACAACAGGGGAGTCAGGGATCTGGTGAAGCTTCGGGAATAATGCAAAGAGGGCGGGGGTGGGGGAGGAGCAGGTGACAAGAACAGCACGGGCCAGGAGGGGCTGCGCAAGGGCTGCGTGTGGCGAGAGGGCAGAAGGCGGCCCTGGAGATCAGCTCTGTGGGAATTCACCGATGACACGGGACGCGGCAGGGCCGGGCGCGGTGGCTCAAGCCTGTAATCCCAGCACTTTGGGAGGCCGAGGCGGGTGGATCACGAGGTCAAGAGATCGAGACCATCCTGGTCAACATGGTGAAACCCCGTCTCTACTAAAAATACAAAAAAATTAGCTGGGTATGGTGGCGCATGCCTGTAATCCCAGCGACTCAGGAGGCTGGGGCAGGAGAATTGCCTGAACCCGGGAGGCGGAGGTTGCGGTGAGCCGAGATCGCGCCATTGCACTCCAGCCTGGGTAACAAGAGCGAAACTCCGTCTCAAAAAAAAAAAAAAAAAAAACAACAGAAAAAAACAAAAGAATTAGCACAGACACGCATAACCTCCTGGGCCAAGGGCGGCCAGGCTCTAAGGCCTCCTTGTGTGTCATGGTCAGGCCCTGGAAAGCAGCGCCTCTGGGAGGTAGGGGCTGTTGGGGACACAGTCAACCCTGCAGTATAGACCTAGGAAGTTGGGGGACCTGCGGGCAGGGGATGGGAAAACACTCTGACCAAAGACCACGGCATGCTACCTCCGTGACGTGCCCTGTGCTGTGCTGCAGACATTTCTGTGCCCAGGGCCCATTTCTATTACTACTTGTGACACCTCACCTGTCCCCAACGGCTCTACTGTCCTCCGCGCATCTGTGCGGTATCCATCTTCATCACCCAGCTCAGCTGCTGGCCAGAGCTGGTGCCCATGGTGAGTTAACGTGCCCGGGACATATTTTTCTAAATTGTAATTTATTTTTGAGACATGGCCTCCCTCTGTCACCCAAGCTGGAGTGTAGTGGCGCAATCTTGGCTCACTGCAGCCTCGATCTCCCAGGCTCAAGGGATCCTCCCACCTTAGCCTCCTGAGTAGCTATGACTACAAGGTGTGTAGCACTACGCTCAGCTAATTTTTGTACTTTTTGTAGAAATGGGGTTTTACCATGTTGTCCAGGCTAGTCTTGAACTTTTGGACTTAAGTGATCCTCCTGCCTTGGCCTCCCAAAGTGCGCTGTGACTTATATTGCTCAGTCACCAACCGCAGCAGCAGAACTGGTGCATGCGACATCCCACTACACCCTCAGGGGACCAGGTGGATATCACACCCATTTTACAGATATGGAAACTGAGCCTGGGAGAGGCAGGTGGCCTGCCCAGCCACAGAGGGAGGTGAGAACTAGAGTGGCTGCTTACTAGAAATCTCAGGGCCATTTCCCCAAGGGCTCTAGGCCTCACATGAGGAGGATGCCAAGGGCTTAGAACCATGCCTGGCATGGTGTAACTGCTGCTTTTGCCCTTGGGTTGGCTCACACACACTTCCTAATCACTACCAGTCGCTGGGGCACGTTCCTGGGTGCGGGCATACTGCCGTGAGTAAGGTGAGTGGGCTCTCGGGGTGTAGAGTGGTCATTCCAGGAGCAGCCAGAGAGCAACACCAGGGAAAGGAACTGATTCACGACACAATGCCAGGAAGCGATGAGCATTTGAAATAAAACAAAGGGCCATTTATGGGATGGGGACAAATGAGAGCCGCCACCATGATTCTGATTGATGGTACTACTGTCACCACTGCGTTCTGAGGCTGAGCTAACCACCAAAACCAAATGTTTAGCCCTAACTAAGCTTCTACTATGTGCCAGAGGCTCGGGACACAAAGACAAGTATGACCCGGCCCCATCTTTCCAAGGGACAAAGAGGCCGATTCTCGTGCGCTCCCTCACTCCCTTGAAGCCTGTGGACCGAGCTTCCCTATGCCTGGGCCTCCCGGGGTGCTAGGTACCTGGCTGTGAAGGAGACAGCCCCACTCCCTGCCTTCACAGCTCCAAGTCTGGCTGAGATAGACAGCGAACAAATACAAGTAACAAATAAACAGAATAAACAAATTGTGACGAGTGCTAACGAAAAAAGATAGCAGAGAGGGAGAATCCCCAGGACACAAGGAAATGAAGAGCCTGGTGGAAGCGGTCACCTTGGGAAACACCACGTGTCCCCAGCCTGCCTCCTGCTGCCACCCAAGGTGGCAGGAAGAGGCCTCCGCCGGGTTTGTTTTCAGAGCTGCTCAGTCCTGGCTGATCTCTAAGTTTCAAAGGAGGACGTGCTTTGGTCCAAAAAAACATTACTTAGGCTCAAAGGTAGTAACTGAACGAAAAACCAAGGCAGTTGTGATTGGGGGAGACAGTTAACCTTTCGGGAGGTTTACACCAATCATCATGTCATTAACCATGATAGGGGACGCTTCTGGGTCCTCAAATCACAAAGGGACTGAAGGATTTTGCTTCCTGACTGAAACAGGCCTCCAGACCGGCACTTCCTGAATGCCTGGTGCTGGCTGGGCCAGGCCTGAAGATCCACAATGAAACAAGGAAATGAGAAACTCGGACAAGGCAGGGGGGTTAGGTACAGCAAAGTCTACTTCATTAAAATCTCAGCCTGGGTGCAGTGGCTCACGCCTGTAATCCCAGCACTTTGGGAGGTTGAGATGGGCAGATCACTTGAGGCCAGGAATTCGAGACCAGCCTGGCCAATATGGTGAAACCCCGTCTCTACTGAAAATACAAAAAAAGTTAGCTAGGTGTGGTGGCAGGTGCCTATAATCCCAGCTATTCAGGAAGCTAAGGCAGGAGAGTCATTTGAACCCAGGGGGGCAGAGGTTACAGTGAGCCTAGATCATGCATTCTAGCCTGGGCAACAGAGGCTCTGTCTCAATGTTGCTCCCCAACTATTTTTTTTTTTTAACTGTAAACGTTCTTTAAAAATATATATTTATGAGAACAAAGGAGAGAGTAGCTGAGGACTTACTGTTTTTTTTTTTTTTTTTTTTTTAAACATTCTTATTTTAATAAACAGCTGGTTGCTGTGTTGTGGGTGTGTATGGGTTATAACTTACGAGGAAAATATTGACGTCTGATCAGAATGACTTCCATGATCCTGTTCAAAACGAGTCTAAAGATCTTGGCTTCTAAGATGTGGTCATGGTCCTCAGACTATGAGGTCATCGATGGGGGGGGTGGCTACACTGCCCACTGTGGCCATCTAGGAATGTGTGGGGTGTTCCAGGTTGTCATAAGGACTGGGGGCACCCATGACACTCAGAGGCACAGGTCAGGGATGTGAAATGCCTTGTGATTTGCAAAGCAGTCCTGACAAGACAGTACTGCCCAGTCCCAAAGGCCAATGATACCCATTTCCCCAGCTAGGAAGCATTAGCTAACGGGTGGGGGCTGCCTTCTCTGGCCCCCAGGGGCCACAGCTGTCCCTTCCTTTCCTGACTTTGCAGTCACAAACATCAGAGGGTACTGCCACTCCAAAGGCATGAGAATAGGTATCTCCCATACCAGCCACCCTCCCCCATGAGCCAATCTGGTCCACCTTTGAAACAGGAAGGTTGTTTACACTTGCTCTGCTTCGAATCCCTGTTAACAGATCATAATTTTTTTTTTCCCAGACAAGCTTTATTTGACAAACTAAAAGCATGTTGTATTCATAATTTTGACACTGTTTTTTCAAGGAGATGCTCATCAAATTTGAGTCTGAGCCCCACTGGTCTCCAGCATGAACAAAGACCTTTAAACCAGAGGCTCAATGAGAAACTTCCCGCGGCCCCTCACCCTCTCCTTGCCCTCGACTGTTATCCCAAGGCATCCTGGTCTCAGACTCAGCTCTTACCGGTTTCTGGCTCTGCTTGATCCTTTTCCGTGGGTTCCGGAGGTGCATCTTGGGGCTCTTTCTTCTGTGGGGCTGTGCTGGAGAAGACGCCGACCGGAGCCCATTCCAGATACAGAGGGACGTGGTGGAACTGCAGAGACAAGAGTGATGGCCCTGTGGGTCCTCATTACAACACACTGCTAGGGAGGGACTCAGTCCCATGCAGATCATAGCCCAAGGGTCACAGGGAATGGGGAACTCACCCAAGAATGGAGCCAGAAGGAGCCCAGCCCCAAGCCCCACTATTGTCTACTCCCCGAGGACAATACTTGGCCCCCGTAATGCATCTCAGGGTGCAGGAGAGAGGCTTGTCTCTGATGCCACCAGACATATAGCAGTTCCAAGGCCACTTTTGTGTTTTACCAATCAGAGTAGGAAACAGGGAGTGGGGTGAGACCATGTCATTGGTAAAGTGTAACTCTCCAGGAGGAGGTGTTAAATGCCCATTAAGAGGACATGCTTTCTATGTGCGTATATCTACGGGCAATGCACGTATACATGTGTGCGTGTGTGTGCGTGCATGCAGATGGTATTTTTTTAAAAGGCTAGCTGGGCATGGTGGTGACACACACCTGAAGCCCTGGCTACTTGGGAGCTGAGGTGGGAGGATCCCTTGAGCCCAGGAGTTTAAGGCTCCAGTGAGCTAGCAGTCTGCCACTGCACTCCAGGGAAACCCTTTTTTTTCATGTGTCCTCTTAAAGAAAAGTGGGGTGGGGGGGTGATTAACAAGACACTGACACCTGCCTCATTAGGCGGCCACTAGCGGGCTGCAGGACAGGGGTGAGAGTGACACTTGTCAATAAATGCCCTTTTTGAATCTTTTCAAATTTCATACTACATGAAAGCCTTGCAAATTAGTTACGTTTCAGAAAAAAAAAAATACATGCTTGAGAGGGAAACAGACTGGAGTGCCAACAGTGTGCTGCATTACTTAGCTGTGTGGCCTTGGGTCAGGGCGCCTCTCTGGGCATCAGTTTCCATATATGCAAAATGAAGGTGGCAGTCTTGTTGGTGAAATAGACACTGCCCCAAACAGGAGGCCTCACTGAGCCAGTGCTCTCGAACTGTGGCTCACACAGAGAGCCTTTGGTGATGGGCACATTCAAGGAAAAAAGGATGGTGTCACATTCCCAAGGCCACCCACAGCTCATTCATGGGGCCCCACCTAGATAACTTTTCTTATGGGTCAGGCACAGACTGACTTCCTGAGAGCTTCGTGGCCAGAGTCCCAAGCTAAGGACTACTAATGGGGTTGGAGTGGCAGAGAATAAGAAATCATTTCCTCACCAGCAAAGTGGGGACATGAATACCTATCTCTAAGAACTGCTGTGGGAGACCAAGGTCTGTAAAGTGCTAAAGTGCCTTATGAACAGAAATACTTACAGTGGCCCTGCAAAGGTATGTCTGTATCTTGAATCTCTAGAACCCTTGGTGAATGCGACCTTATTTGGAAAAAGGATCTTTGCAAATTTCATTAAGTGAAAGATTTTGAGATGAGATCATCTTGCATTATCCAGGCATGCCCTAAACCCAATGACAAGTGTCCTTAAAAGAGAAATACAAAGGAAAAGTGAGAGAAGAGGGAAAGCCACGTGAGGATGAAGGGAGACACTGGAGTGACACAGCCATGAGTCAAGGGATGCCTGGAGCCACCAGCAGCTGGAAGAGATACAGATCAGACTCCAGAGGAAGCACAGCCCCGGTGACACCTTGATTTCACACTGTGGCCTCCAGAACTGTGGGACGATACATTTCTGTTGTTTCAAGCCAACAAGCTTGTGAAAATTTGTTATGACAGCCACAACCAGCAAACTAATACACGACTGTTGGTTTTTTTCCAAAACCAAGAACCAGGAGACAGCCCCACCTACAGAATTGACTTTCATTCATCTCACTGTAGCTTTAAGATAGTTAAAGCATTCAAGAATGCTCATTCTCGGGCCACAAAGGGAGACCTCGGTCTCTACAAAAAACTAAAAAAATTAGCCTGGCGTGCTGGTGCACGCCTGTAGTCTCAGCCACACGGGAGGCTGAGGTGGAAGGACTGCTTGAGTCCCGGAGTTTAAGGCTGCTGTGAACCAAGATGGCGCCACTGCACTGTAGTCTGGGTGACAGACACAGACCCTGTCTTGTAAATAAAGCACATTTTAAAAAAAAGAATTGAAAAGAATTAGGATCTTAATCCAAATTAGCATGAGTAAAGAAAGCCAAACAAAAGCTAGAGTCAGGCAAGGAACCAAGGCATTCTTTCTAGAGGACGGCAGAACCTCCCTCTCCCATTCTGCCCATCCGGACAGGTTTTCAGGTGGTAGGGATGACATTCACCCGTGATAGAGATGGGTGGTTTAGGGTGAGCTCCCACGTGCTACATCTGTGAATCTGTAGCCCACTGCACCCTCTCCCTTGAAGCAGCCCTCTTTGGGCCTTCTCCAGATCAACTCCGGGTCTCCAGCAGCCCTACCTTGGAATAGGCCAGATGCCTGAAGGCCTTGCGGGCCTCCAGGGGCTCCAGGAACTCTACGATGGCGGTGATTCCACCCTCTGGCAGCAGCACGCGGCCCAGGCTGCCAAAACGGCCAAAGGTCTCCTGCAGCTCGGCTGCCAGGGTGCCTGCCGGGAGGTTCTTGACCAGAATCACCGTCTTGCTTCGCTCTGCTGCAGCCTGCAGAGAGGAAATGCACACACGTGGGACCACAGGATGGAGGGTCCTCAGCTGACACCAGCAGTGATCGTGGGGGGGTCCAGACGAGGTTCTCCATTTGGAACCTCAGCAACCGGGCACTTAGGAGGCGGACCCAGGAGGAACCACCCTCTCTGGCATGATGCTTGCTGCATGGCTGAGAGGCAGCTCTGCAGAGGGGGTGAGGCCTGGGGCTCTGAAACTGGATCTTCTGGGTCAAATCCCCGCCCCTCCACTTCTGAGCAGGGCCACACCTTCCAAGGCTTCCAATGGCTGAGGTCTGCATCTCAGTACCAAGGCTTCCCTCCCTGTAACTGCAGGCTGCCCACCTGCTACCACGTGCAGCCAGCAGGACGTGCCCGGAGTTAATGGCTCTGGGAGCAGCCCGTGGCTCTCGAGTTGCTGCACCCCTTGTCCTTGGGTGGGCTGAGACAGAGGTGTGCGCTCTGCAGGTTTCCCCCTAGGCAGAGCTCCAGGCACCCACAGGGCGCCCACTACAGCAGCACACACGCCCCAGTCTCCTTGCCTTCCCCGCATCCCATTCTCACCAGGGTTTTCTGCACTGCCCCCTAAAATTGTTTGCCCTTGAATCCTTGTCTCAGACTCTACACTTCTGGGAGAACCCAAACTAAGAAACTAGCTATTCAGCCTCGGGAAATGCACTTAACTGCGCCTCAGCTCCCACAGTGGCAGCAAGGACGTAGCATCTATTTCACAGGATAGCTCCAGGAAAAGGTTTCATTAAATGGGTTAGTAAAAGTACATGTAATATGAGCACTCTGAAAACGCTAGCAATAATTTTATTAAAAAATAATGTTGGAGGCGGATAAAAGAGCCAAGAAAATATAATGGAAAAGTCTACGCACATGGCCCATCTGGGAATAGGTCTTAGCTCAGCTGCTAATTTAACCTGAGGCCTTGGGTCAATTACTTTGTTTCTGTAGGCTTCAGTTTCCTCATCTGCAGAACGGGCTAACACTGACACCGTCTTACAGAGGCCACACAGGGTTGCTATGAGGACTGCCTGAGGTCAGGGGAGTGAAACTGTCTGCAGGTGGGAAAAAGCCGGCACCAGTGCTCAGACCGCAGTGCTCCAGACAGAGACAGGCTGGGGCAAGAAGGCCTGTGTCCAAATTCAGCTCCACCACGACGAGGTGTGAAGTGACTTCACCCCTCTGTGACTGTGGCTTCTTCTGCAGCGTGGAAGCACAGTAGAACTGCTTTCACAGGGTTGCCATGTGAATGAAGTGAGCTAATTAAACATGTCAACTTAGAAGAGTGCTTTGGTAAGTCTTAATAAATGTTAGCTATTAGTATATTTATTTCATCCATCCATCCATCCACCCACCCACCCATCCCCCACCCCCATACCATCAATATTCATCTACCATCTATCCATCCACCCATCCTCCTCATCCATCTTGAGGTAAAAACTTAAGTCCTGGGAAGGCTGTTGAAAGAGCTGTTTGGGGAGTAAAAGCCCCAGGTTTTGTGCGGGCTCCTCCCACATATAGGCTGTTTGACCTTGTAAGTTACCTCCCCGCTCTCTGAGCCTCGGTATCCCAGATTGTAAAATGAAGGAGCGGATGTCTTGTGGGCTCATGGTGTGAGAGGCCCTCTAACCTTCCGTCATCCATAAATCTAAGACCTGATACTTGGTGGAGAACAGGTACCCGGAGGTGCTGGACTCTTCTCTGCTAGGTTCAAGAAGGGTCAAAGTCCCCCAACAGACCACAGATGCTCTGGGAAGACACTGCGTATGGCAGTAAGATGGGGGTCCCGGCCTGTGTGGAGGAACTGTGGGGTTAGAGGCAGACCTCCTGTACATGGCTGTGGACAGACAGAATCAGGGTCAGACAGGCCACTTGTCTGAGCCCATGTAACATTTCTTTCAGAGACAATTTAGAAATTAGTAATAGTCCTTAGAAGGCCAGATCCTTGAATCCACCTGCGTCTCCCTGGAAAGGCCATTCCTGGCTCTCTAGTGGCTGCTGGCTGGCGCTGCCGAGAGCACCTACCTGGCTGAAGGAATCCAGGCTGACCCCGTTGTCTATGAGGAAGCGCCGCACTTCCTGGACAAGCTGAGTCTCCCCCAGAGCCACACGTACGGCCACGCTGCCCTTGGTCTCCTGTGGGAGAGGAAAGGAAGAGCCCCAGTTGGCTGTCCAGCAGGTGACATGTTGGCCCTCCCCTTTCCCAACAGCCTGAGGAGGCAGCAGGGTTAGAAACGGATCCAAGGATGCTGCTCACCTTCCAACATCGATCAGATGCCCCCAAAGGCTCTGTGCTTTTTCTTTTTTTTTTTTTTAAAGACAGAGTCTCACTCTGTTGCATATGTCCTCCAGGCTGGTGTGATCATGGATCACTGCAGCCTCAATCTCCCAGACTCGAGCAAACTTCACACTTCAGTCTCCTGAGTAGGTGGGACCACAGGCATGTGCCACCACACTCAGCTCATTTTTATATTTTTTGTAGAGATGGGGTTTCACCATATTACCCAGGCTGGTCTTGAACTTCTGGGCTTAAGCGATCCACCTGCCTCAGCTTCCCAAAGTGCCAAGATTACAAGTGTGAGCCACTGCGCCTAGCCGCCCAATGGCTCTGGCTTCCCAGATCTCTCAGAGCAGATCTGGGACCCCAGGGTTCCCTTTCCTGCACTCCCCTCCCCTCGTCATATGGGTCTTTGCTGACACTCCCATGCTGAGCTCGTCCCGCTCCGGGGCTCCGGCAGTTGCTGGCTTTGGCCTCCATGGTTCTTACCCCACACTCCCTTGCTCTATTCAGTTTCAGCTTAAGCGTCACTTGCTGACCAGCACATCCTCGCAGTGACAGCCTATCCCTCCCTTGGCTTTTCGGTTCTCTGCCATCGCCAGGCCTGCCGCACTGTACCTCTGCTAATGTGTCAGTGTCTGTTCCCTCACCAGAAGGCACCACAAGACCCTCGCCACTCCTGTTTGGGGGCCTGCTGTGTTCCCAGAGCTCAGAGCACTTGTGGGATCTGAAGCGGCTGCAGTCCCCCAGCTGGCCTGGGTCTAGAGCTGTGCTGTCCAACCCAGTGTCACAAGCCCCTCAGAGCCACTCAGTATTTGAAATGCAACGCGACACATCTAAAGCACTCTCGGTGTAAAACACACACGAAATTCTGTGAGAAAAAAAGACTAAAATAGCTTGTAACTTTTTTTAAACATTATATATATATATAGTGAAATAATATTTTAGATATACCAAGTTAAATGAAATATATTATTAATTTTGCCTGTTTCATTTAGCCTTTTAAACATGTGGCCACTAGACCATTTCCAGCTACACATGTGGCTCGCACTCCCTAATGGACAGCAGTGACCTTCAGTGCCTGGGGAGAAGGGGCGGGCAGCAGTGGGCAAGGAGCTTATGAGCCAAATCCACTGATGTCCTTTGTTAATTTGATGAAAACCACTCCCAGGTTTACCTGGGAAGAACTCAGCTGCCTCTGACTCCAGATGCATGTTTTGTTTTTTTTTTCTTTTTTGTGACAGAGTCTTGCTGGAGTGTGGTGGTGTGATCTAGGTTCATTGGAGCCTCCGCCTTCTGGGTTCAGGCAATTTTCCTGCCTCAGCCTCCTGAGTAGCTGGGATTACAGGCATGTGCTACCACACCAGGCTAATTTTTGTATTTTTAGTAGAGATGGGGTTTCTCCATGTTGGCCAAGGTGGTCTTGAACTCCTGACCTCAAGTGATCTGCCTGCCTCAGCCTTCCAAGTGCTGGGATTATAGGTATGAGCCACCACGCCTGGCCCAGATGCATCCATTTTAAAAGAGGGTATGAAGATACAAAATATACAAAGAACAGGGTATTTTCGGGCTTTATGCAAAGTACCTTAGACAAAGTATCCTTTGTACTTTATACATACAAAATATGTTTTATATGAATCCTGCCTGTAATCCCAACACTTTGGGAGGCCAAAGTGAGATGATCACTTGAACCTAGAAGTGAGACCCCCATCCCTGCAAAAATAAAAATAAATTAGGCATGACGGCATACATCTGTAGTCCTAGCCACTTAGGAGGGTGAGGTGGGAGGACTGCTTGAGCCAAGAATTTGGGAGGCTGTAGTAAGCTATCATTATGTCACTGTACTCTAGCGTGGGTGACAGAGCAACTCTGTCTCCAAAAACAACAATAACAACAAATATATGTGTATGTATATCTATAGACCTACTTGAATATACCTTTTAAAAAGTATCCTTTTGTAGAAGGCACAAAGCACATACAGGATACAGAGTAAATGATATACAGAAGAGCAGATACGTCAGCGGCATAAGTCTAGAGACCTAATAGCAGTGTACAACATTAGCACCAGAGGTAACACTGGAGATTTCTGCTTTTAGCAAAGTGGATTTTAGGTGTTTTTGCCACACACACAGAAAGGCAAGTGTCAGATGATGGAAATGGCGATTTTCTGGCCTCTGGTAAGCATATCACCATCACTATGTCTATCAAAACATCACGCTGATTTTTAAAGCTACGCGATGTGGAGGAGCTGGATGGCTGGAAGAGTCCGAAGGAATAAGCTAGACTTGGGAGAGGAGGAGGAACGGAATCCATGACCCTTGCCCTGGCTTCAGAGACCTGGGGGGTGGAAATCGTGAGACGCAGCTCAGAGCCAAGGCACTGGAGCTGGCCAGACCTGGTGTCCTACCACCTCCACCTCTTTACAAGTCTGTGACCTTGGATAAGTCACCGTGTCCTTGGCCTTGGTTTCTTCATCTGGACAATGGGGATATAAGAACAAGAACCCCTACTTCACAAGGCCACTGTGAGGAGCATCACGCACTAATGCTTGTGGCACAGCGGGGGGGCTCAGGAATGTCACTCATTGACATTACTGTCAATCACATTCTCTGGGGTGGCTCCATACAGCAGCATGAGAAGCCAGAGCAGGAGCCCGGCTGGGGGTGTTTCCAACGGCAGGGCTGGAGAGCACCTTCCACTCCAGAGGTCTCTGGGAAGGCCCAAGAGGAGAGCCCCAGGGACCCCAGCCTCACAGCCAACAGCAGCATAACATGCCTCCTGCTCTTTCTCCCCTTCAGTTTGGCCCGGATCCCAGAGAGGACTGGTCGGCCTTTACTCACGTGGTCAAAAACTTGACTCTTGGTGGCGCTGTACTTCTGTGCGATGGCATCGGCCACGGCATTCGGCCCCATGAATAACGTGTTCCAGTTGTGAGAGCTGAGAGGCAGAGGCAGAACAAGGAGATCAGACTAAATGAGGGGAACTCGCTCTCAAACACGAAACCTGTTAAGAAATGGGCTCCTAGGCCTGTCTACATTCCCCGATTTCCCTACCATGGGCTACGTATACAGGGCCTGAAGAAGAGAGGGATGACGGCAGGGACCACCCCTAACATTAGCCCAGCGCTTCATCTGTGTCAGGAACTAAGCACTTCACATACATTCACTCACTTAAGCCTTACAGCACCACAAAAGTAAGGCACTACTGTTAATCTCCCATTTTACAGATGAGAACACTGAAGACTGGTAAGGTATGAACCAAACCTATCAGGAGTCAGAAGACCCAGGAGGCTTAGAAATGGCAAGGTGAAGGTGGCAGAGGATTGGGTTGGGGCTCGGTGGCTTCAGGGGCACTGAGGACCTGGCGCTGTTGGCTTTGTCCTGGGCCTCCTTCTTCTTCTTGTAGGATGACGATCCCAGGGCACTGGCATCTTCGCTGGTTTCCTTCTTGATGGTAGACGGTAGCACATGGAGCATTCTGCCCTGGATGGGGATGACGGGAAGGGAGTAAACAGCAGTCCTGCCTGCCAGCCCTGCTTCCTGCCAGAGGATGTTGGCGTCTGCCACGAGCAAGCTGGTCAGTACTAAAACTGTGACCAGAGGGTGGGAGGTCAGGTAGAACGAGGCAACTCTCTTCCCACCCGACAGGTACCCCATGTTGTGAGGGGGCCATCTGACACAGCTACACACATGAATCTTTGATCAGTTTATAACCCGCACCTGCAGCCCTCTCCCTGCCCCGCCACCCTGCATCGCCCCGTTCCTGCACAGGTGAGTGAGAATGTGAGCTCGATGCTGGCACAGCCAGGTCTGGCCTGATGACCACAGGAAGGTCAAGAAATCATGAATGAATGAGAAAAGGAAAAGGGTGATGGTGAGGTAGCCTGAGGCTTAGGGATGGATGCTACGTATATTACTTGGTAAAACTGAGAAAAGTTTCTTATATTCCACTGTGGCCATTTTAATATGCCCCTATCAAAAAATTCCTTTCTTCTTACTCCTCTTCCAAGGTGGTATCTATAGAGATGAAGAGCAAATTCATCCGTTCAAGGAATATTTTTTCAGTGCCTGCTCTGTGCCAGACACAGGTGTAGGTGCCACAAATCAGTGACAAGAACAGATCAGACCCCACCCTCATGTGACTTCTGACCTTCTAGTGGCTTGTGTGAGGCAGTGACTTAGCATGCCACTGCACGTCTTCTTAGCCTCACAAAGGGGACGCCCGTGTCTACATACACAGACACACACACACAGCCTTTCCCTACCACGTGAGCCCTGCAGCCTCCTGGCCAGCCCAGGAGGGGCCTCACCTGGAATACCTGCCCGTCCACCTCCGAGTAGGCCTTCACGGCGTGCTCAGGGAACATGAAGGTGACGAATGCAAAACCCTTGGGTTTCTTGGTCAGGCTGTCGATGGGGTAGTGGAGCTCAGACAGGGGACCTGAGGACAGGAGAAGTGTTGGTCTCTGGTGGGCTGGGGGCACTTGGCCCCAGGGAAGAATGTGGTGAGCACCAGCTGTGCGCCAACCACACAGGTCACAGGTGTCATTTCCAGTCCCCTCCGTGTGTCTATCCTAAGAGCAACAATACCTGGGCTGGAGCTCAGCACCACCACCTACCACATGTGCAGCCTGCCTTGGGCAAATGGGCCTCCTCATGCCTCAGTCTTTTCATCTGTAAAACGGCACAACAGTACCTAGCGCACAGGCAGCTACACAGGTTAGATGCGTTAATGCAAGCATAGTGCACGAAATGGTGCCTGCTACAGTCAGTGCCAAAGAAGTGTCTTCCGTGATGACATTAGCATCATGCTCCGATTAAAGCACGCCCTTTCCACATGGGTTTCCACTCTGAACACCAGCGTCTGACCACGTCCCCTCTCTGGGTCTTTCCTTCCCAAATGGACATTTGCAGTGTACCGATGAATGCTTCTCCCACTCAGCCCAGCCACGCGGTGTAAGCCAGGACGCCAGCTGGTGTGGAGGGATTTGGTGAGCAGAATGGTGAATGGAGCAGACGGTTCCACTGGGGGCAGGCCCCAGGCTTGGAGGTCAGCCCTTTTGCTGATGGCAGGCCCCACTCAGGGCATCCTTGTCCTGACAACGGGACCCACATCAGGTGTCCAACCTACACCTCTGATCCCGCATCCTACAGCTGGCCTCTGCATAGACACAGGGAGACACTATGGGGATCTCAAAGGTGTCAAGGCCTCCCCTCACCCTGAACCCTCCCTTTCTGCCCTTCAACAATGCTAACTCTACAAACACACACAGCCTGTCGTGGCCAAGCTGGACTACGGGCCTTCAATCCCATGGCCTGACAAATAACAGCAACACCACCACTAATCTGGACATTATCAAATCTATCTGGTGCTCAGCTTGGATAAGAAGACTTTACAGAATTAGGGGTTGAGCTATGGAGGAATACCATATAGGTATATTCGTCAGGCACAACTTGTAGTTTCTCAATTCCAATACTGAGTGGCAAGAGTTTGGACAGCAAGGGACTACCTCAAAAAAGCCATCCAAATCGCTCCAATTCTGAATTTGGAGAAGTTACAGAGTTCAGACAGCAAAAGATGCCAGTGATGCTATTAATACCTTTTACTTCCTGCCCTGCAAATCCCTGCATTCATCATGTCATTGAACCCACACAGCAGCTCAGGGGTAGTTGGTCCCATTTTACAGATGAGAAAACTGAGGCAAGAGATGTGGTGTTGTGTGCACACTGAGACTCGAACCCAGGAGGTCAGAGTCTGAACCCGGCTCTCATAGCCACTGGGTACCCACAGCCCCAAGGCCACGCCCCTACCGTATTTGGAGAAGAGCTTCTCCAGGTCCTCCTCGGTGCTGGTGTAGGGCAGGTTCCGTACAAAGAGCCTTCCGGACTCAGCCAGGTCCTCCTCCTCTTCGTTCTCCCCGAGTATCCGGCCTTGCCAGGATTTGGCGCTATTCTTTGGTGAACCCTTGGTGGTGGGGACGTTCTTCTCCCTGAACACCTCAATGTAGCGCCCACCTGCAATGAGGAGGAGTCAGGGCTCCGGGTGAAGCCTGGAACTTGCCAGAGACTCCTTGCTGGTGACTCCAAACTCTTCACTGCTGCCTTCCAGACAACACGATCAAGGTGGCAGATGACAGCGCCCAACACCTGCCCTATCACCTGGGCATAGGCCAACACCAGGTCTGAACCCAAAATTCACTCACTCTGCCAGTTCCACTTCAGCCCTGCAGGGAGCCTGCCTGGGTTATCCCAAACCACAGTAATGCATTCTCTAAAGTCTGGAGTGTACTCTCTGGCACTGCTTGCTGTTCTGCCTTGGGAAAGGTCTTAGGTGACGGCCCAGCCCTGGGTACCTACCTGCTGATGATCTGTTGGCACGCACAGTCCCTGTGCCCGATTAGGGCACTATTGTCACTGTATCCTACACAGGCACTATTAGCTGCTCAATAAATACCCGCCTCTTGACTTGCTAACAAGATTCCCAAGGCTCCCCATCTTCTCTAACACAACTCATGCCTTCACTGGGAGGTGATACCTGGATTCAAATCACTTGTCTTGGCCAGAGATTGGTCAAAGATTGCACCCCTGGGTATTACTCAGAAGACCTCCCAATTCTAGGGAATTTGCGCATGCTGTTCCCTCTACTGAACGTCCTGCGCGTAAAACCAGAGCCTGCTTCCTCAACTGCAGACTTGTGTTCCAATGTCGCCCCTCAGTGAGGCCAAAGGAGACAGCCAAGCTTTCTCCAATCCCTGCCTTCCCCAGGACCCGTGCCTGCTCGGTGTTTTCCTGTAGCATAAATCACACATTTAATCACCTGTCTCTCCCTGCTAAGTCAGTTTACTCTGTCAGCTCCAGAGGGGCAGGGATCTAGGTATGTTTGCTCCCCGCCGTGTCCCCAGTGTCTAGAACAGTGCCTGCTGAGAGTCAGCACTCAAGGAGAACGTGGAAAGGAAAGGAAGGAATGAAGACGGGCCCCGCAGCACAGGGCTGGCTCGTGGCCAGGGCCTCCTTACCCATGTACTCCCGGTTGCATTTCAGCGCTTTCTTCACTTCCTCTTCGTTGCTGAAATCCACAAAGATGTACCCTGACAGAGGACAATGACAGAGCTAAAATCTGAAGGCCTCACAGACACTTACGGGGGTCCCCAGAGGAACACGATACTGTGCTAGGAGCAGAAAGTGAGGGAGAAACCTCTATCTTGGCCAAATCTCCAAAATACAAAGGATCTCCCTCTCTCTCCCACTCACAGCCACATTTCCCTTTGTAGGGAGCATCCAGACCCCAGCCCGGTGTTGTGGATGAGGATGCTGAACACTAGGAGTCGGAGAACAGGGGGCCTTTCTGTCTCCCTCCAAGCCTCACCCCACCCCTGACTGGCACCTGTTCCATGCCATTCTCTGGAGAAGGGCCCATGACTGCAGCATGAGGCCCCGTCTAGGCACTGGAAGCACCATCTCTACGCCCACTCTGCTCCTGGGTGCCTGAGGCCTTGACTTGCACAAAAATAAGCGAATGGGGAGTCTTTCCTATAGGACAAGAGGCTCCGCTTCCTCACCTCACTGGGCCTCAATGCTGTGAGGCAACAAGGTGAGGACCGTTCCTCTGTTTTTCTAGAGCAGTAAAGAAATACTCCCAGGGGCACACAGCTACTAGCTGGCAATGTCTAGTATTTGGTCCAAAGCCCTGGGATTTTCTGCCTTTCATCACAAGGCTGTTTAGACTCTTTCTGTGACTCCTCTGTGCCCTCCCTTCCTATATCCAGGCACCTCATCCATCCATAAACGTCTTGCATCCTCCTCTGTGCCCTCCTTTCCTATATCCAGGCACCTCATCCATCCATAAACATCTTGCATCCTTCCACCTCCTCCTCTCCATGGCCACACCCTGGGCCCGCTGACCACTGATCCTCCCTTAAAGGATGGCAAATGCCCAGCTTCAGGACCCGTTCTTCACCAGCCAGGGACCATCCTAAATCTGATCACTGCTCCCCGGCCCGTCCCGCTCTAAGCTCCTGGGGTCCCCTGCATCCAGACTGAAGCCCACAATCTTTTTTTTTTTTGAGATTGGGTCTTGCTATGTTGTCCAGGCTGGACTTGAACTCCTAGGCTCAAGTAATCCTCCCACTTCAGCCTTCTGAGTAGCTGGGACTCACACAATCTTCAATGAAGCTCCTAAGCTTAAGGGGCCTGGCCTGCCTCCTCCCCAGCTCTCCTGCAGGGGACATTCTGCTGCTTTTCAACATTTCATGCTTGGATGCCAGCTCTCCCCAACTCCGGGGCCTCCAATATGGTTTTCTCTCAGCCCTGACAACTCAGATATGCTTCTTGTTCCCTCTGGTCCCTGAAGTGTCATAAAAGCAAGGGTAATACCGCCGCCACCACCACCAGCATGAATATTAACAGCAGCTTTCACGAAGTGTGCAACAGGGGCTTAGCACTGCTCTAAATGCTGTACATGAGGCCATTCATGCAACTTGGCAAGACAGATTTACGTAACTGCAGCGAAAAAAAAAAACCGAGGCTAAGTCCCTTGTCCAAGGTCTTAGGGCTCCTACCTGAGATACCTGGACAGGGCCCTTTACCCTGACTTCACCCTGCCCCGTAATCAGTCTGCAAGGAGAGGGATGGTCGGCTGAATGGATCAGCCGGGTAAGTGGAGCTTTTGTGGTAAGAGAGAGTTGGAGAAGAAATGCAGAAACAGGACAGTGATGAGACCACTCCTCAAGCACACCTGCTTCCCCAGATCTCAGCCGAGGTAGCTCTCAACTGCTCTGCCCAGGCCAGTGTCTTCTTGCCAAAGACAGAGTACACAGCCAGCGGCTTCCAGCCTCCCCACGGCCAGGGGGCCTCAGTGTGCTTCTCTGAGAAGCAGCACATCTGCTGCTGCATCTCCCGTAGTCTCTGAGGCTGGCCAGCAAGGAGGAGTAAGCATGGGCAGGTGCCTACCTTCCTGAGCTCGTGCCCACCTTCCCGAGCTCTGACACTGCCTACCGGACACACTGCTCACTTCAGGGAAGCCAAAACCCAGGGCTCTGAAGCCAAGGGAGGTGGCTGGTTGCCCGGAGTGCAAACCTGCAAGGAGGGTGGCCCAGGGCACTACCACACATGCTCAGCAGATCAGAGCCCTGCCCACCAGCAGAGTTGCCTGTGGACTTTGCCCAGCAAACCCCAGGAACAGCTGGCATTTGTTTCAGTGCACTGGGTGAGCCCACCGGGATAGGTGAAGGCTAAGATGAGGAGGGGAAAGATGAGAAACCGGTGAAACCTCCGTCCCTGAACACCAGGCCACCAAAGGCTGCGGCAAGAGATGCAGCCTTGACCTGACCACATCCATAGAACTGAGGACCACAAACAGGAAGAAACACGGGTGCCCTTCAAACTTCTTCCTTATTGTACCCCAACCTTCCATCTTCACTGTCTGCCCCCTTTCCCGCCCAGAAACATCCCAGATCGTACCTGTTTTATTCCCATGAGCGTTTCTCACAATTCGAATGGCCACTGGTTTCAAGGGTGCCAGGAATTCCATAACATTCTTCTGTAACAAGAAGAAAAGGTTTTTTCTCTTTATCAACTAAATAATAAAAGTACAACCCAATGAAAAGACATGGGGCAAATTTCTGAATCAGAAAGGATTACAAAGTGTTTCATTCTTTAGTTTTTCTCTTTCCTTAGACATAACTCTCCTCCATCATTAAAACTACCTTGGAAAAAATTTTGAAAAAAAACTGAAGAAATGAGAATAATATAAATATAAAATAGCAATGTCTCTACCAGCAGTAAAAGAGCAATGTCACTATCAGCATTTTAAGACATGGTTTCCCCTCTAGATAATTTTATATACTTGGGATTAAATCTGGCCTTTTTCACTTCTCATGAAGCTTGGGTATTTGGTTTTTGTGTATTAGTTTTGCAAGTAGCCACCTAGTGGTTTTTGTCTTATTAATTAAAGCAAGTGATTTTCTGAATGGTTGGTACTGAAAAAATTCTGACAAAATTACAAGACAACTCAGGGAGTTTAATGAAACCTAAATGCTTGCTACTTTGAAGTTTGATAAGTTGCATTTCAGAAATTTATAAACATATAGAGTAACAGAACAGATAAAGACTTCAAGAGAAAAAAGAGCAAAAGAGACGATTGGGCACGTTTTTTTGGGAGGCGGCGGGGGAAGAAGTCTCGCTCTGTCGCCCAGGCTGGAGAGCAGTGGCACGATCTCAGCTCACTGCAACCTCCACCTCCCGGTTTCAAGCGATTCTCCTGCCTCAGCCTCCTGAGTAGCTGGGACTATAGGCGTGTGCCACCATGCCCAGCTATGTTTTCTGTATTTTTAGTAGAGATAGGGTTTCACCATGTTAGCCAGGATGGTCTCGATCTCCTGACCCTGTGATCTGCCTGCCTTGGCCTCCCAAACTGCTGAGATGACAGGCGCGAGCCACCTAAAAGAGATGACATGCTGGCCAGGCATGGTGGCTCATGCCTGCAATCCCAGCACTACGGGAAACCGAGGCAGGTGGATCACCTGAGGTCAGGAGTTCGAGAATAGCCTGGCCAACATAAGAGCGAAACTGTCTCAAAAGAAAAAAAAAGATATATGTGATCTACAAATGTGAGGATGATCCGTCTTACAAGTAATTTAAAATACAAACTAACATGAGATGCCAACTTGACCTATCACATTGATAAAACATTAATAAGACCCAGGGTTCTGGGAAATGGGCACTTGTAGACTCCGCTAGAGGGAGTATAAATTAGCAAGAGGACACTGATGTTCTGTGCCAATGCCTTAGAATTATACATGCACATGCCCACACAGATTATCTATCTGGAGCAAAGATCAGCAAACTATGGCCCACAGGTCAAATATCACCATGGTCTGCTTTTGTATGGCTTGCAAGCTAAAAATGGTTTTTACATTTTAAAAGGTTATTTATGAAAAAACAAAACAAAACAAAACAAAAAACCCAACGAATGTGTGACAGAGATTATATGGCTTATAAAGCCTAAAATGTTTACCATCTGGCCTTTACAGACGAAGTCTGCTCATCCCTAATTGCAAGGAACTGCATTATAAAAGCAAAAAAACTGGATGTAACTCCCATGTCCAAATTCAGGGGAGTGAGTAGGCCTAAGGAAGTTTACTCTGAGTGAGGAAGAGGATGAGGATAAAAAATGCTGCTGTAGCAGAGTATATTCAACATTCAAAGAGGTCCACGACATACCATGATGAGGGGGAGAAAGAGTTTCCAAAGAGTTACCAGTAAATTGCTTCTTAGACATACAAAGACAAAAACGTCTAAGACGACGCTGCAGTGAGCTATGAGGGCACTACTGTACTACAGCCTGGGCAACAGAGTGAGACCCCGTTTCACAAAAAAAACTGAGAACTAAAACCAAAGGAAAACAAAACAAAAACTGTCTAAGAAGATATACCTAAAATGTATCAGCGGATGTCGCTGGGTGGGACACAGGTGCAATGGCGAGGGCGGCCCCAGTTTGCCTGGGATGGGTGGTTACTGTATCTGCAGTCCTTAGACCTGCGGTAATTCCACCCACAGCCTGGCACCCCAGTGGGGTGGCACCCCTCTCTCAGTTTAGTGTAGATGATAATTTAGTAGTCATCCTACTTTTGGGCAGTTTTTTAAATATCCTTTTCATTCAGCTACATGGTTTTGAATCTTCTATAGAGAACTTCTATTACTTCCACGAGGAGTAAAAATTTAACCTGTGTTCACAGCTGTTATAGGCCCAGAGACAGCAAACTACACTCTGCAGGCCAAACCTGGCTCACTGCCTGTTTGCGTAAATAAAGTTCCATTCATTTGTGCCTACTTTCTGAGACTGCTTCCTTGCTATAAGAGCAGGGCGAGCAGTCACAAGAGAGACGGTGTTGACCACAAAGCCTTAAATATTTACCGGCTGACCCCCTACGCTTTTCGTTAACAGAGTGTGTGCCCACCCTAGCGTGGGTGAAACCAGAACTCTGTCTTGGTGTAGCCATTTCTGTTTCCTGACCCTGACAATGCTGGAGAGCTTACTTCTCAGCCGTGCTGGCCCCCAATTCCTCCTAGCTCATGTCCTCCACTGACTCTAACACCCCCACGCACCAAAGGCTCCTGGTCTCCCCACCCTCGTTCTCAGCACATACCTCTGTGACGTTGAACGGGGCTCCCCGCAGCTTCACGGTGTGGCAGGTGGTGGGTTCCTTCTGGTTTGCTGGTTTTTCTGCCTGCGTGATCAGAAAAACAAACAGAAGTGGCCACAGTGACCCTTCATACAGCTGCATATATTGGATATAACTCCCATGTCCAAAGTTAGGGGACTGAGTAGGCCTATGGAAGTTGATAATTTAGTAGTCATCCTACTTTTGGGCTGTTTTAAAATATTCTTTAATATTCACTGGGACATTTCCGTGCCAGAGAAGGTACCTGCTGCCAGGGGGAGCTGGGGACTGCTGGGAAGAATCAATGCCTACTGTGGATGGAGTCTGGCCAGAGGTGTGGCCTATGTGACTCCAAGTCTCTGCGTGCCCCTGAGATGAGCGCTGGAACCACAGCCTGGCAAGCTATGGGCACTCAGACAGGGGCTCTGGGGCCACAAGCGGGGTAGGAATGGGAAGGAGCCCTGAAGAACAGGGATGTCAGTGTCACTATTTAGGGCTATTAGTGCCAGATGCTGAGCTAAGCACTTTAGAGATGCCACTGACCTATTAAATCTTTACAACAATCCCATGGAGACTATGGGTTCAGGATCTTTTTTTCCCACAATTCCAGAATACCAAACAGCTCTGAAAAAACCTATGTTTCTGTTCACTTTCATGGCAACAAAACCTGCCCTGACTTGAATGCACTTCCTAGCAAAGCCTGCCCTGAGTGAATGTGAGCCCATTTATAGCTTATGTTGATCCACGCAGCGCAAGCGGTCATTTCTGGCTGTACTGCAGAAACGGGACTGCACTTGATGATGGGGTGCTACCTTTTATCCTCCGTATTTAGTAACAAGGTAGGCAGAGGGGAGTGAGCCTGCTTGGGGTATTGCATTCCAAAGGGTTTGCTTCCTGAAATCTGAAGATTCCAGAATTCCAGCATATACTTAGGCACAGGGTCAGAAACCAGAGGCAGGGAGCAGTGCCATCATAAGCGTCTTTTTATGGACGAAACTTAGAGGCTGAAGGAAGTAAAGTATCTCATCCAAGGTCCAACAGCTACTAAATTTTGGAACTAGGAATTGAGCTCATAATTCTGACTTCTCCACACTCTACCACCTCTCTGAAATATACATTTTTTGGGGTGGGGGGAAGAAAAAGGACAGGGTGCATAACTAGAAGAGACAGAAAATAAGAGGAGGGAGGAAGAAGAAAAGGAAAAGAGGAAAGAAAAGGGACAATAAAGCCTGCTTTCATCTCATTTGAAAATTCAGGGCTGGGGCCAGGTGCAGTAGCTTACACCTATAATTCCCACAATCTAGGAGGCTGAGGCAGGTGGATCACTTGAGGTTGGGAGCTCGAGATCAGCCTGGCCAACATGGTGAAACCCTATCTGTACTAAAAACACAAAAATTAGCCGGGCATGGTGATGCACGCCTGTTAATCCCAGCTACTTGGGAGGCTGAGGCACGAGACTCACTTGAACCCAGGAGGCAGAGGCTGCAGTGAGCTGAGATCACACCACTGCATTCCAGCCTGGGCGACAGAGCGAGACTGTCTCAAAAAAGAAAAAAAAAAAAAAAAAGAAAATACAGGCTGGGCAGGGAGAGAGGCCATACCATACTTCACAGAGAAAGGAGGGAACCTGGACAACATGTCAAACTGCCCCGTCTCTGATGCAGAGAGGACTCCCAGGTGGGAGATGAGTTGGCTGACCTCCAGGGAAGTGCCCACGTTTACTATCTTGACTTCAGACCCAGCAGACCTGGTACTAAATTCGGAACCCAACACTTCCCAGCTGTGACCTTGGGTGAGGCACTTTTCTTCTCCGGGCCTCAGTTTTCTCACCTGTAAAATGGAACAAAAGCAGCACCTGCCCTCAAGATGGTGATGAGGTGCAATGGCATGACAGGCATGGTGCCCAGTGTGTGGTGCGGGCTCAGCTGATCCTCCCGTTACTGCTGATGACTGGCCTGCGCCCCTCTGCCTGCTTTGTTACTTAATACAAAGGATAACGGCTCAGAGTCATCACTCAGCTCCTTCTGCCCCACAGGAGGGATACAGGTGTGCTGACCGGGGCTGCTCCAGTCTGTATCTGTAGTCATCAGACCTACAGTAACTACATCCGCAGCCTGGCACCGCAGTGGACTCGCATCCCACTTTCAACTTAGTGTGGATCATCATTTAGTTGCCACCCTACTTATAGGCAATTTCTGGAAGGCAGGTGACCTCTCCAGGTTAGCAACAGAAAATAAACGCAGAGGCTGGGTGCAGTGGCTCATGCCTGTAATCCCAAGACTTTGGGAGGCTGAGGTGAGCAGTTCACTTGAGGTCAGGAGTTCGAGACCAGCCTGGCTAACATGGCAAAATCCCATCTCTACTAAAAATACAGAAAAATTAGCTGGGCGTAGTGGCGCATGACCATAATCCCAGTTACTCAGGAGGCTGAGGCAGACAATCACTTGAACCTGGGAGGCAAAGGCTGCAGTGAGCTGAGATCGCACCAGGCACTCCAGCATGGAGCACGGGTGACAGAGCGAGACTCCATATCACAAACAAACAAAGAGAAAAGAAATGAAGAAAGGACACATGGGAAGCACGCAGCAGGGCCGAGATCAGAAGACACCTTCGGACAGCAGAGCTGCATCTTTCCTCCACATTCCACTCTCCTGACAGAGGAGCTGTGGGTACCATGGGCAAGCAGAGAGCAGAGACCTCCTCCCTGGGCACCCGCGGGATATACACGCACCTCGGCTCTGGCCTCCGGTGGCCTCTTTTTCCCAGCTGGCATTCCTTGCTCTTGGCCTACACCCTTGCCGTCTCTTTCCTGCAGGGCTGGGGTGGTGGAGGAACCCTCTTCCTCGGCCTCACTCCCTTCCTCACAGTGCACGGCTTCATCTTCACTTTCCTCCTCCTCTGAGGAAGAGGATGACCCGGACTTCACCATCTTGGACTTCAGGTAGTCCATGTCCGACAGCTCCTTCTGCACAGCTGCCTTCTGTTCGAGGTTTGCCTCTTCTGGAAAAACAGGGAGGCAAGGATCAGTGATAGCTATGAGTAAACCAGAGTTTGGAGGCAGCAAATGGCAGATGGTCCTCCTAGTGGGAGGCCTGAGGCACCACACCCACCCCATCCATGGCCCCTGTGGCCAGCATCCCGCATAAGTGCTCTGATTAGCAATGCCAAATGGGGTGAGGCTACCGCAGCTTTGATATTCTCTGTGTCACACATTGTGAAACCCAGGCTCCTCATCAGGGCTGGCTGTGCGGGCTTCTTCCACTGTCGCCTCCTCCTCCTGCCAACCCCACCCACCTCGCGTCCTTCAAGCCCACACACTTCCCTTTCCTCTGTCTTTGCGGTGCTGTTCCCTTGCCTGGAACCCCTTTTCTCTCCCCTCCCCTCCTGTGGCCCACTAAGTCTCCTGGGTTCCTCAGATGGGAACTTAGCGCAGCAGAAATGTTCCCAGGCGTAATTGCACTAAATGCACATCCTCTCACCTTTACACCCAAATCAACTCCCAACTCTCCAGCTGTATCGTCCTGGGTTGCAATTGCTCCCTTGCCCACCACAAACCCCTTCGGAGGATAAAGGCTCAGTCCCTCACCGTCCCTGCTAACTCTCCTGTCCCCTTCCCCGCGTTCTCTCTGTAGCACGCATCATCCTATCATACGCCCAACAGTGGACTTATATTTTATTGTTTCTCTCCCCAGCCATAATCGCAGCTCCACGGGGCAGAGACTCTTCCGTCTTTTGCTTATCAACATAAGCCCAATGCCTGAAGCATGGCTGGCAGATAGTAGGTGCTCAAGAAGTATTTGTTGAGTGACTGACTGACGGCATAGCTAGGATCAGTGAAGGCAGATGCACCTGCCGAGGGATCATCACCCCACTGGAGAGCTTGAGGGTTCACCTGACTCCTAGCATCTGGCACAGAGGGGCCCCTAGTGCCCGCTAGCCCAGTGGCAAGCACAGGCCCGTGCACATGGAGCACACCATCCACAGGCCCTCACCTTCCAGGTCCTCCCCAGCTCCCTCCTCCTCAGTCTCCTGCCCGGAATCGGAGTCGAAGTTCAGGTAGTCGCTGGCCGGCTTGCTCTTCTCTCTCGATGACTCAGCATCCAGGCCATCGTTCGCCCAAGTGGCTGCCTGCGCCCGCCTCTGATGAACCGACAGAAACTCCTGGAATTCTGTATCCTCCTTCAGCTGGTGGCACCGGAACCCGGGCAGCAGTGACACAGGAAAAAGGGAGAAGAGGCAGAGAAGGCTCAGGTGGGGCTTGACGTTTCTGACTCTTAAGAGGGTGAGAAGATTCCGCAAGCTCACTTCCCCCATTCTCTAGAGGACCCTGAGGTTCAGCACAGTCAGTTCTGAGGAAGGCAGAGCTGACTCCTCACCAGACAAAACTAAGAGGCCATGGAGACAAGGCCAGGGGAGACCAGAGGCACAGCTCTTTGCTCGCCAGGGCTGGCCTCCACCCTCTCCAGCCTCTACTCCCTCCAACCTCCTCCCTCTCCTGCCTCTTCCCTCTCCCAGCCTCCACCTCCTCTAGCCTCTTCCCTCTC